ATATAAAACTAATATGTACAGTTCAACAAATAATAACATTTGCACTCATGTTCCCACTCCCCACACCATGCAATAGGACATCACCAGTACTTTAGAAGCCTCTTGGGGGTTCCTTCCTATGGGCATTCCCCTTTCTTACCACTTCGGGTATAATCATGTGTAAAACTTTGTATTAATCATCCTTTTGTTTTTCTTTATAGTTTTTCACCTGTGTTAGCAATCATAAATAGTATATTGTTTATATTAATGATAGTGTATTGCATCATTCTTCTGTTGCTTGCTTCTTTTAGACAACAGTATGGTGTTGAGATTTAACCATGTCAGTGAGTGTAGCTATAGTTCACTCATTTTCATTGCTGCATAATATTCTATTTTATAAATAGCACAGTTTATCTCTGTTACTACTAGTGGGCATTTGATTCTTTCACATTTTGTGCTGCTATGAACTCTGCTGCTATGAACATTCTTATCCATGTCTCCTGGATAAGTGGACAAGTGGAAAGGTTTCTCTAGGATATTGATGTAGGAGTGGAATTGCTGGTCTGGAGTGTATGCATACATTCAACTTTACAAAATAGTACCCAGTTGTTTTTCAGAATGGCTTTACTACTTTACTCTTCTCCCCGAATGGGATGAGAGTTCCATTTTCATTTCCTATAACATGGTTTCAACAGTAAATAAAAACTGGGAGGTGGGGGGAAGATGGTTCAAAGTCATATCCTAGAAGGAGAACATAAGGCAGAAAAGTAGAAACTTTAATATCTGTTCAGTCACATGTAAATCTCTTCCTTCTTTCCTTCTTCCTTCCTCCTTTCACAAATTTGTACATGATACCAACTCATAACATACAAATAGGTATGTAGTAGGTTGAATGGTGACCCCCCTCAAAAAAAAAGATATGTGCACATCCAACTCTCTTAAACCTGTGAATGTGACCTTATTTGGAAAAAGGGTCTTTGCAGATATAATTAAGTTAAGAATTTTGAGATGAGCTCATCACAGTTTACTCAGTTGGGCCATAAATCCAATGACAAGTGTCCTTAAGAGAAAAGACACAGACAAAAGAGGAGGAGGCAATGTGACCATGAAGACAGATTGAAGTGATGAAGCCACATGTCCAG